GAGGTATTTCAGGACAAGCCTAGCGCTGCAGTAGCATTGTACCATCTGGGCCTACACGTCCCTGTCCTACGCAGCCTCACAAAATGGGTGTACAGAAGGATACATGCCTTTCCCAGACTGCCTGGAGGATCATCACCCAAGCCACATATAATGCTTGATGTAATACAACAGCCCAGGAGGGTCAGGCTTGAACCTACAACCTTTGGATCTAAGCACCCAGGCCTCTATGGACTGAGCTAGAAGAGCCACCTCTGTGTCTTCTTCACAAACCTCTATGTAGCCCAGCCGCTAGCGGTGACAAAGCCCCTCCTTGTTGTCCGGAGTTACACCGATAGCCTTTTCACCGGGCTGTCCCAGACAGCCACCACAAGGCAGCGTGGGCCCCACTCTCCCCCGATCAGTATCACAGCCTCTGGGCCTGCAACGCTGGAGCGTTCCACTTACAAACCTCCGCTCGGAGGACACCTGAAAACCTGGCCGAGGCTGACCCATCCTGTTACCTCCATTGTTACCAGGGCTCTAGTATCCCCGCAGGGACATAAGCGCTTTGCTGGGAGAAGCTGGAATGGCCATCGCTGCTCGCTCCGCTTTGTTTCTGCTCCTCAATAAAGGGTTCCTCCCCAAGCTCGGTCCCCGTTCGTTTGTCTCTGCTGCCTTTGGAGATTTCCAGCCTAAGGAGGCAGCGTGGGGGAGCCACGGACATGTAGGCAGAGGGTATGTAGACTGGGGCTAGCTCTGCATGGACATACAAGGAGCCTGCCCAGGCCTCTCCCCAGCTGTGTGTGCAAGAGGCAGCCACACGCTTGGTCCTTGCAGCCCTGGCAGGCGTGGGGGGAGCCCTCTGCACGGGTCGGAATTGAGGGGAAGGGGTTCATTGCACCAGGATAGCTGGGACACCCCTTGGAGCAGATCCTTAGGATCACTGGCTCTCCAACTGCACTGTGTGTTAGGGGGTGGGTGCCCCTGAGCAGGGCTGGGGGTCAGTGGGTAAAGGGGGCAGGTCTCACCTCTGGAGCCAGAGTAGGAACCCATGGGTAGCCGGTAGTGCAATAAGAGATCTGCTGCTCTCTGGTCCGCCAGCAGGGGGCGTATGATCCCAAGCCCACAGAACTCAGCGGAAAGCGTCCCAGCCTACATCTACCCCGCAGAGAAAGGAGCCGGGCTGGAGCCGGCCTCAGGGACTAGCACAGGCCTAGCTTGGGACCGCGACAACGGAACGTTTGTCCGGCTGCTGCTAGGGGGCGCTATGCTGCCAGAGACGCTATCTCAGCGGCGACTGACGCCCTGTCCCTTTGCAACCATTGAAGTCAGGGTGTTAGGGTAACCGCTAGCCCATACCCCCGTCCACAGCTAGGTATAGAGCCAGCAATCCTGCCCTCCCCCCTCAATTCCCGCTGCAACCACTAGGTCACATGGCCTCCTCCAGAACTAGCGATAGCTGGAGACTATCGCTATTTATCCCTCCCAAACACGAGAGGATACTTGGCCCAGGTAGGATAAATAGGTGTGTCAAATTCTTGCCTTCTGTCCCACTCCTCTCAACCTCCGTTGCTTTCTCCTTCACTCCTTGACTTAAACTGCTGGGGAGTGTTGCCGCAAGACTGTTAAAAAGCTGCCACCTTCCACCCCAGAGGTGGGTGCATACCAGTGGCGGACAAAATGATCCCTATTTCTTACCTCTCCCAGGGTGGTGGTGTGCGAGTTAATGGGCTCATGGCTGTAAAGTGCTTGGAAATAAAGAGCACTGGGGGGGATACAGCCTGTCTGCGACGACTGACGTGACTGCGTTCCTTGGGGAGGGTGGTTGTGGCTGGCAGGTGTGGCTGGTGTCCCATTAGGCCTAGACTTAGTGCCCCTGTTGTGCGAGGTATCGTACCGTACATATTATTTACGGGCATTTCTATGGGCACCCTGAGGATACTAACAAATTAAGCCTCCCAGAAGGATTATCTACTCCTGGGGGATTTTTGCGCCACTGCGCATGCACAGAATTTATGTTCCCTGCAGATTTATTTGCTTCCCCATAGAAAAATGACTTTCTGATGGGAAGCAAAGGGAAGCCACAAGAATGGTCATGAGACCCTCCCCAGCAGTATGTTTGGGTTTCTAGGGCAACCGGCAGAGAGGTAAATCACCGTGGGGCAGGAGGCGGAACTGGGGAAGACCCGGCTGGTGGCTCCTACCCTGTGCCGGGCTCAGCTGCTAGTCCAGGCTGGGCAGGACAGGACTTCCTCTTCTCCTGCATGGCATCCAGGGCCGGGTCAGACCCACCCCCAGATTTCTCCCCCGGCTGCAGGAAGCTCTGCAAACTCACCCCCCAATGCTTCCTGCACCCATCGTTCCTCAGCTGCAGGGGGAAGGATCCCTGTACAGGGAGCTGCTCCCCCATCCGCCCAACCCCTGTGCATCCAGACCCCCTCATACCCAGACCCTTCTGCCAAGCCTCACCCCCCCACATTCAGAACCCCCCTGATGAGCCCCATTCCCCCTGCATCTGGACCACCCCGACGAGCCACCCGCACCCAGATCCTCACCCCACCAAGCCCCAACCAGTTGCATCTGGATCCCCACCCCACTGAGCCCCCCACACCCAGATCCCCCTGCTGAGCCCCAACCACCTTCACTTGGGCCCCCTTGCAGAGTCCCATTACCATTGCACCCACAACAAGCCCCTGTTCATCCAGATCCCCCCACACCCAGATCCCCCACTCAGCCACCTGCACCCAGACGCCTCTCAACCCACATCTGGATGCCCCCACACTATGCCCCTCCACACTTGGATCCTGCCTTGCTGAGCCTACCTGGTGCACCTGGCATAGAGGGGCAGGGCCCTGGGGTGTTTCTGGGGCAGGCCTGGTCCTTGTGCTGTGTCAGGGTTGGGTGCAGCCTCACCGCTGAGTCCATGTCCTGGGGGGGTTGGGGTGGGCTGCGCAGTGATCTCCCACCTCTGCATAGCCCGTGGCCTGGTTCCCCCCAGTGCCATGTTGGAGCCTCCACATTTCTTTAACAAATACAATTTGCAGAATTTTAAAATATTGTGCGCAGAATTGTAATCTTTTTGGCGCAGAATGCCCTCCGGGGTAATTATCCTCTCCATTTTACAGATGGGAAAACCGAGGCACAGCTTGGGGAAGAGACTTACTTAAGAGCACTAAGTGAGTCAGGTGCAGAGCTGGGAACAGAACCCCTGACTCCAGGATTGTGCTCTTGCCCCTGGACAGACTGGGCCTGATTCTGGTTACACCGCTTTTACCTCTGCATGTACGGGTCGTTACAATCACGGACCAGGCACAGTACAAACACTGGGGCTAGTCCTGATTTACACCGGGGTGAGCAAGATGAGGATCAGACCCAACGCCTCCTCCAGAAGCCTTTCATCCCTGCTTCGCCGTATCCAGCGGCCCCTGCCTCCGTGATTCCCTCCCCCCTCCAGACAGAGAGAAGGGAAGTGGGCTGGTGCCTTCAGACCCCCAGGAGGAGTTGTGCCTGGGTGGCCGGCGGTGTCGTGTGCTGGGGCAGGCTTTGGCATCACCCATCGCTCCGCAGCACAAGCCGCACCGCTGGGGGCTTCTTCTCTCCCCCCCCCCCGATTGACGCAACTGGCGACAGTGGTCAAACGAGCTGAGACGCCTTTGGGGACCTGGCTGGCCACCGGCACAGGCCACACGCAATGCGGGTGGAAAGGAAGCCGCTGCTGGGGGCTGCTGTGGCTTTCCTGTTGGACATGTGGCCGGGCTGATGAGCCTGGAGATGTTACCCGCCCAGTGGCTCTGGTTCTCGCGTCACACAGACCAAAGCCCTCAGTGCCCCCTTGCAGACCTAGTGTTGTTCCCCAATCCCCAGCCAGATTCTGTAACTGACAATTTCCCCAGGGGTGGAATTAGGTATCTATTAGCTTGGCCCCAGAACAGCTGGGGGGGGGGGCGGGGGGGAAGAGGCAGCCAGCTTGTAAAGCTAATGCAGGGAAACCGGAGCGGAACCCCTTGCTCTGCCTTCATGTGGCAAACCGGTCACCTGGGCTGGGAGTGCTACTGCCAGGGGACCACGCAAGAGGAGGTGATGGGCGCATGGGCACCAGTGGCTATTAGCCAGCATGGGCAGGGATGGTGGCCCTAGCCTCTGTTTGCCAGAACCTGGGAATGGGCCACAGGGGATGGATCACTTGGTGATTCCCTGTTCTGTTCATTCCCTCTGGGGCACCTGGCACTGGCCACTGTCGGCAGACAGGACACTGGGCTGGATGGACCTTTGGGCTGACCCAGTATGGGGCCATTCTTACATTCTTAACCAGTGGGGATGCATCATCCCCAAGCAGGCTTGGCTTGCAATAGGCCCCAGGCATGGAAAAACCCCCGAGGACACAGAGACCTGCACCCTTTACCCCCTGCTGTCTTACTCCGCTCCTGGGGAAGGGATGGAGTAGGGCTAAGGTAAAGGTAGTTTTAAGGCATCTTTATGCTCCCCCTAGTCTGCCCACCGCTCGGTGCAAGTTAGCACAGCCTTAGGAATAGAACCAGGACTCCTAGCTCCCAGGCCACTGCAGTAACTTCTAAACAGCACTCCTCTCCCAAGAGCTGGGGATAGACGCCTTTGCTGCAACCACTAGTCAACACTGCCACCCCACACTGACACACAGCCTACTTATGATCTGCATCGGGAGGCCCAGCCTGTTAAATTCACAGCTTCTATCTCTGGGCCCCACCCTGAGACCGGCACTGCTGGCCCCCCGGCTCCTTTCAGAGGTGCAGACTGAAGGCAGAAAGCTGAGTCAATGGCCGCGGGGCCAGGTGCCCCCTAGTCAATGACAGAACGTGCCCAGCGTTGCATACAGCTCAGATGCTCAATAGCCCACAAGCTATAGGATGGGGTTAGCCACCACCATCCTGAGCGAGAGAGGCCTGAGAAGAGGCAGAAGGCGGCGCAGACTGGACGTGATGATGTCTCTGCCTTTTGAAGTCTGGAGGGAAGCTGTGATTCTTCAGGAGAGACTGATGGGGGAGATGGTGGGGAGGGGAGATGCTGTCTAGTTTGGGAGGCCTCCCATCATTGCAATGGCCCATGCCCACCTGTGTTGTCTCGCTCCCTGGAGGGCAGCGGAGCTGCCGGGAGAGGGATGCCTGGAGTTTGCCTTTCACTTGCCTGGAAAGCCACTGTACCTCCTCGTGGAACAAGTGACCCTATTCCTGATACACTGAGATCTCTCTGCTTCGGCCCAGCCTGCCACACCGATCCAGGAAGCAGGGTCTGAGCTGCATCCACCTCTCGAGGCACGCGAGCTGTAGGCCCCCGGCTGGCGGTTCCGTGGCGGGAGACAGCGTTCTGGGATGAACGGCAGCCCCGTGCTCCAAAGAGCGACCCAGCCCAGTGACCCGTGTGCAGGAATCCCAGCTGAGTCATCCACTCCCGGCCAGGGCTGGAGCCGGCCGGATTCCACTGGGGCTCTAAACCTTGCAGCTCGTAAACAGCACTTCTCCAGCCACACAGCTGCTGTGTCGCGCTGGGTCCCGTGCAGAGGAGGGCTGGGAAGCCCCCGTTAATTGCATCAAGCGACACCTCCGGGAATCAGGCCCTACAGCTCTCAAGCTGGGCACCCACAATCAGTAGCCACTTCTGAAAACCTTAGCCCCAGCGAATGCCCCCTACAAGCCTATCGACCACCGGGCTGGGAGTCAGGAGAACTGAGTTCAATGCCCCGCCACCGACTCAGCGTGTGACCTTAGGTAAGTCACTTCATTTTTCTGGGCTTCAGTTCCCTGGGGATAAATTGGGGAGTATAATCCTTCCTTTGTCTATCGACACTCAGCTCCTCGGGGCAGGGACTATCTCTTGCACCGTGCCGCACCTTTGGGGCCTTGGTTGGGGCCTCATATAATAAAAATGTCTCCGGCTAGTGAGCTGGGGGAGAATGGATGACTTGGAGGGGGTTTAATGGGCCCAGCCCACGCTGGCCATGACAAAGGTGTTGCGTCCTGGTGGCCGGTTGCCATCCTAGGTGGCATGAGTTGGGCAGGTCTCAGTCAAGTTTCCACTAGACAAGTGCCCCCATCACAGCTGCATGAGGGAACAATTAGCACTTGCAACAGAGAGGCCCAAGACCGAATGGGCGCTGGAAAGCGACCCCCCCTCCCTCGGGCCAGGGGCCAGCAGAGGCCTGTTACAGGAGAGGTATTGCCCTGGCGCGGTCTGTACTGCGGCTTAGCAGAGGCCTCCAGCCTCCAAGGCTGTCAAAACCCAGCAGTAAATTCACACCCAGCAGGCTGAGCGGAAAAGGAATGGGAGTCTGGAGCGGGCCTCGAGGAAAAGAACAAAGGCCTCTCTTGTGAAACCACAGCCCATCTGCCCCGGGCTCCTGTACCCACCCCCCAGCAGCAGACAGATGAGAGAACCGGCGATCCCCGGGCTGGCAGCGAGGCGAGGGCTGCAATGACATACTGTATTTACGCAGGTGGACGTGGGGTGAGCTCTCTATACTCCGCCCTGCCCCGGAGCCAGCCAATGGCTCATCGTCGCTCTCTGCGCAGGCCTGTCTTTCCAGGAGCAGAGAGGGAGGATGCTACGCAGAAAAGACACAAGGGCAGGCTATCCAAAGCACCTAAGGGGTTGAGGAGCATGAATGCTACCAATGGCACGTCACTTTTGAAACTCTCCACTGCCAGCACACATAGGTCTTTCAGCTCCGGATCTCAGAGCACTTTCCAGGGTCATGATCCTCCTTTTAGAGATGGGGAAGTGACCTCCCCAAGGTCATGCAGCAGATCAGTGGCACAGTCAAGAAGAGATCTTCTAGTACAGAGCCCTAGCCATTAGACAACACTGCCTCCCAAAAAACCTTTGGTTCTACAGCCCAGCTGCAACCTCCCAGCTCCCCTTCAGTCTGTTCTTCCCCCCACCTATCGTTTGCCTAGAGCAGGATGCCTCACTCCTGGAGCATTTCTCCTCCTTCCCTTCGGGTTCCCAATTGGTTTCATTTGCCATGAAATCCAACCCAGACTTTGCCCCTTCGGTTTGCAGACGGCCCATCGATAAGTTGGTGGGGGAGTGACAGCGCCTGAGAGACTGGGGTGGTCCTGAACTGCTATAAGAGAAGAGGAAGGCGGAAAAACAAAGGAGGAAACAGGGTGCAGTGGCTGGAGAACAGCTCCAGGACTCTTGGGTTCTATTTCTTCTGACTCCCCAGACCAAATTCGCATCCTTAGGACAACTCCATGGATTTCAGCAGGCTCACACCTGGGGAGAGTTTGGCCTCGTGGGGCATCTTGGGCAAGTCACATGTTCGTCCTGCACTGCAGCTGCCACAGGGCCTTGGTAAATGCTTCCCAACCTCACCGCGGGGCTGCACTTGAGAGCCATGAATAACAGTCCTGGAGGATTCAGGTTTAGACCCACATTCCAATCCTCCGTGCTTGGAAGGGGTGGGGCATGGGGTTGTATGGAGAGTGGATCTAGCATCTAGGTCCAGGGTTTTAGTCCAGGCCCATCCCAAGAAACCAGTGGGAGTTAGGAACCGAACATGCAGAGGCATTTTGAAAATCCTCCTAGGCACCTACCTGCACCATTAGGCACCTAAATACCTTTGGAAAACTGGCCCTTCGTCTCTCTGTCTCAGGTGCCTGTCTGTAGATATTCTGCTCCCTTCGTGAGTCTGTCTTGTGTACTTCGGCTGTCAGCTCTCTGGGGCAGGGCCTGTCTCTCTATGTGTATGTACAGCACCTTGCACAACAGGGCACTGACCCTGGCATGGGCATTTAGTGCTATTGGAATACAAACACATCGTAACAGCGCTTCTAATGGCAATGCACTGGGCTGCAATAGATTAAGAGCACTGATCCCTGAGCAGTGAGGGCATTTCTGCCCGGAAAGAGCTCCCTGTAAAAAAAAAAACAACAACAAAAAAACCCAATAACGGCCCCGATCCTCACAGATATGGGAGTCTGACCCAGAGGCTCTGGGCCAAAGGCCCCCATGTTCTCCTCCCACAGAATCCCCTCTGCCTTGATGCCGACAGAACACAAGGCGATGGGCCTGTTTTGTCCACAATCAGGCCACTTTTACCTTGCCATGGGTGTCCACTTGTTCCACATGGTCTCTTGTCACACGTTCGCTTTGCTAAATCTTTGAGGCAAGGACTGTCTTGCTTTTTAAACTGCGTTTCCACCATATTAATCAATTGCAAATGAATGCTTGTATTTTGCACCAGGATTTCATTCTCAATATTGTGATTAAAGGAACAAGGGTTTACTCTAAAACCACTTAGAAAGCTCCAGATTCTGGGGCAAAGGTGCTGCCAGACAGGATGGATTAATCAAAGGAGGAAAGAGCCAGCCACACACAATACACACTGCAAGGTAAAGTTAGATGCAGCCTGGCTCTGACATGCACCTCCCTGGTGAGCTGAAAGCATTTGGATTTAATCAGAGCGAGAACAGAAATAACAACTGCAAAACAAGCCACCGGCCCCAGACTCGAGTTCCAAGAGATTCTACCTCTCTAAGGAGCCAACTGCCTTTTGGGAACATCTTGTGATTTATACTTGGATTGTAAGCTCTTTGGAGTATGGACTGTGTTTGTTCTGTTTGTACAGCATCTGCTGGAATACTAATAATGGTTACATTAGGGTAGCATTCTAGATCGGGGACCCTGGTGCAAAGCAGAGCTGGGCAGGAACTGTATTTCCTGTCCGGCAAAATTTGTCCAGATTTCAAAAAAACTTTCCTGTCCCAAATCAGGATGAGAAGTGGAAATCTCAAAAATTTGGCCAACTGAAAATCTGGACAAAAAAGCCAGTTTGGGTCCATTGAAATGGTCCAGTTGATCATTTCAAAATGTTTATTTCAATGTTGACATTTTTTAATTTTAAAAAGCCTTTGACTATAAATTAACTTACATTTGAAAAGAAACATTGTTTTGAACTGAAAATGGGACTTTTTGTTTCAAAACCATCCAAAATGGGACACTGACAATTTCTAAACTTTTTTTTATTATTATTATTATTTATTTCCAATTTTTTTCGGAATGGGAAATGTGTCAAAATCAACCCTTTCCCCCGAAAAATTTCCCAACCAGCTCTATTGCTAAGCATTCATGCAGTTCCCTGTCCCTGCCAGATATGGGAACCAAGACACAAAGAGACTGAGTGAGCTACAATCAGAGAGTTTAAGGCCAGTCATCGTGTCTGATCTCCGGTGTATCATAGGCCAACCATCCACTCAACACCCGCACACTAACCCAACAATTAAAATTAGACCAAAATGTTACAGCCCACAAGATACTAGACAAGACTTGCACAAGGTCACACGGCAAGTCAATGGAAGAGCCAGGAACAGAGACACCGGATAAGGCCATTCTTCCTTTGCACACACCCTTCCCTCCTTAGCCCCCACACTGGTCGACCCTTTCGGGAACCCACAGGACTAACCGGAGATGCAGTTCCACTCCCACTGAAGTCAGGGGAGCAGCAGTGGTGGGACATCTTCAAAAATAACCTCTAGTGCAGATGAGGCTCCGGTTTCCCAGGCTCCATTAGGCCATGCTGAGTTGCTGACCCCAGCTCTGAAGTTGAAGCCCTCGGAATATCCGGGGAGGTTGTTTCACTTCAAAACAGTTGGTCAGGTTTGAATTCACTTGGTCTCGCTCCACGATCCCTTTTAACCACCAAAAAAGGACAGTCTGAGACCCACGTGGGTGGTGTCCAAGCCCCCAACCAGCTTGGTGCCGTGTTCAAGAGAATTTGAATGCAGCCATAGGCGCTGGAGACTATAAAAGTTTATCAGGCTTAGCTTGGGAAGGATAGGAAGGGAATCGCTATCATCCTGAGGGAGTTACGGGCCCCTGGCAAATCGTGGGCTCCTCTCTCAATGAGAACAGGGCCTTCGGTGTGGATGTTAATGGGACGGTTATTGCATGTTACTGGAAAGCCAGCAGATGATTAAAAACACATCGCCTGCGGCTTTATGTCGATTCAATAGTTCAGCAGCCATTTAACTTCAACGTGTTTTTAAGTAATCGGTATCGAGTTGCCCGGCAGTCTGGGCCATGCAAATACCTGCATGAAATGCAGCACTAGGCAGTTTTTGGTGGCGTCATTGAAAGTCATCAGGTAACGAGAGGGGACCAGACTTACAGGTATATTCCAGCTGCCTTGCACAACTCTGGCCATGCAATCAACCTGGCAGAACCGGCCAGTGAAACTGGGCTCATGCTGGGAGTGAACTGGTGACTCTGGTCGTGGATTTAAAACGGCAGGTTCCCTTTGGAAGCTGCAAGGCTAGTGAGGAAAATCCTGTAAAACCAGGAGACCCAGTTTAGTACATTTAAAAGGTATCTCAGGGTTACAGCAAGAGACCAAGGGTTGTAGGGCTCCTGGCTCTGCCATGACTCTGTCATAGGAGGATGGGCCCAATCCCTTGTGGTGCTGAATGCCCTCATGTCCCACTGACTTCACTGAGGGCAGTGGGTACTGCTCAACACCTCATGGGATCTGGCCTTTTGCCTCACCGTGCCTCAGTTTCCCCATCTGTACATTAGGGATAATGACACATAGTGGACAAAGCACTGGACTGAGACTTTGGAGACTTGGATTCTATTCCCAGCTCTGCCACTGGCCTTCTGGGTGATCATGGGAAAGCCACGCCCCCTCTCTGCACCTCAGTTTCCCCTCTCTGTAAAATGGGGATAAGGATCCTGACCTCCTTTGTAAAGCGCTTGGACATCTCTGGATGATAACAGCTAGAGGTTGTTATTACTACTACTTCCCACAGGGTGTAGGGAGGGGGATGGGATGGGATGACCAAGGACCCTACCACAACAGAGTGAGATACAAGACCCATCTCTCTGCGACAGCCTTCAGACAGAGCGGGGAAAGTTGTGTCCTCACTCAGATACCTCACTGAGAGGACCCTTAGAAATACTTAGCCAGACAGTACCAGGGCTACTACTGCAGCAGCCTTTGGGCTATACAGCTGGGTATGGACCCGCCAGGTCTACATATTCCTGGAGCCATCAGCCCCCTCCTTATTCCCCACCCTCTTCATGCGGACACAGAGCGTAGCTGCAGTTTGTGGTGACCGGCCTCCCGACCGTCCCAAACCGGAGCAGTTCAGCAGCATCTCATGTCTATGGTCGGCGGGGAGCATAAACTGACCCAACGTCAATAAGCAAAGGCAGAACATGGGACCTGGAAGGGTTTGAGTTAGGAACGGAGAAATCGGAAATTCACCGGCTCAGGGAGCCCAGCAGAAGGCAGGACCTCCCTTTAGGTCCCACGCAGAGTACTGCCAACCTCAAGAGATCAAAAAATAAATGAGTTGGATGCCAACAGATCAGGAAATAGCCACATGTTTGGGGGGCCGATTTACAAAGCGATTATGTGGGGTTTTTTTGAGTCTGCCTAACAATTGGTGAACTGCCCATCCCCAGATTGAGAGAGGTGGTGTGTTAGTGCTGCCCATACTCCCAGACATATTGGGTAGGAGGATTTTGGCCCCTGCTGCAGGAGTTTACACCCCCCACATCTGCCCGCCCCCTGCCCAGCAATGAATTCTTCCCCCCAACTTCCAAATCAACCCTGTGCCCCAGTCTCCAAATCAGTTCCGCTCTCCAGACGCCCACCAGTTCTGTCCTCCCCTTCCACCAGTCCAGCCAGCACCTCACTCCAAATCTGCCCCACCCAGCCCCTGCCAGTTCTGCCTCCAGCTCCTCCACCCCCACCCAGCCCCAAATCTGCCCCACCCAGCCCCTGCCAGTTCTGCCTCCAGCTCCTCCACCCCCACCCAGCCCCAAATCTGCCCCACCCAGCCCCTGCCAGTTCTGCCCCCAGCTCCTCCACCCCCACCTAGCGTGTGCTAGGTCTCTGCACTAGGGTCAGTTATCACCCCTTGAGAGCAAACTCCTTGAGTAGACTCGTGTGTCCCCCCACCCCCAAACACACACACAGCGACTGTGGTGAAGAACCCCCGCCATCACCACAGCCCGTTTTAGACGGCGGCTCCTGCGATTTCGCAAAGGATGAGGTTGTGTGGGGATGTCGGGGAGAGTCACACATCGGGACTCAATTAATTGCCGGAGTTGTGTTGTGAAATACCAAACCTTTATGGCACACGCTGATATTAGGAACATATTTGAGGGTTGTTGTTTTTTTTCTTTCTTTCTTTCTTCTGCATAGAGAGGAGACTTGGCCAGGCTGGAAAAAACCCAACCCAAAGTCGAAACAGATGCTTGCCAGGGGCATGGCTCGTTCCTGTGCAGGAACAAAGGCCGTGCCACAGTGCATTCTTCACCTGCTAGCCCGGAGGGGCCCCTCCAAGCCCACCGGGGCTGTCTGGGGCGCATGAGGATATGTCTGCAGCAGGGGCAGTGTTGATGTTTTTAGCCCTATTCATAAGAGAAATCTGGGCAGCCAGATTCCAAGCCCGGATGTGTGTTCACTTAAGGAAGAAAGCTCCTTTAAAGGAACACGGGACACTGTTCTACCCTGGAAGACCAATGTCCCAGGCACTCAGCTGATCAAGCTAATCTGTCTGGAAGTCCTTTATTCACCGTGTAAACATCTGCTCATGTGGGAAGCGGTGTGGCTTAGTGGCTAGCCCCACTCAGCCCCAGCCCTGCAGTAGGATGTTGGGCAAGTTACTCTTTGGGGCATGGACTATGTCGCCGTCTGTGTCAGGGATCTCTGTCAGTGCTATTGTATTCCAAACAAAGGCACCCGTCATGGAAGCCATTGCTCACCCATGGGAAGGAGAGGTTTACCAGTCTGTCCTGCCTCTGCCACACTGCCGTGTGGGCCAGGCTTTCAAACACCGGCTTCTCTTCACAAAGAGAGTGTTCTGGGGGAGTTTTGCACCCCCTGTTATTTGCAAGGGCATGTTAGGTATAAGCAGATGGTTGCACCTGCATGTGTTTGGTGGGTGCAAAACCAGAGGCTTGGTTAATGCTGGAATTAAATCTGACTCTAGCCATGTAGCTGATCATCTCGGCTCCTGGAAATACTTTGTGCTGAGCAAGCTTAGAGACAGGGCTTCCCTGCACCTGCCCAGAGCTGTGGGCGTGGCCTGACTGCCGTGGGTCTGCTCGCACAACAGGCACAAACAGGCGCACACCCAGGCACTTAATAGAGACTCACGTGTGGACTCAAAGACCCACAAATGCATCATCACACACACAGGCACTTTGTACACACACACGGACACACACACATGCACTTGCAGAGACTTGTGTACACACGTTCACACACACCTTCTGGCTCAGCCTGCACCAGCCAGACTGAGGCCTGTGCAAAGCCTCTAGGAATTTGCTTTTCTGTCCTGCTCTTTGAGCCAGTGTTATGTGCCGTTGTTGTTTTAAGCGCATCTGTGCTCCAATCTCAGCTATGGGCCCAGAAGTTTCTCAGTAAAAAGTAGAAACTGAGAAACAGCTTCATGCCGCTTATTTATTCTTTCTCCAAAAGTATCCTTCCTTGTAAGTGACCCCAGAATCTGGCCCCATACCCTGCTCTCAATCTCATTGAATTCAGCCAGGGGCATGAGAGAAAACCAGAGACAGGATCTAATCTGTCCACCCCCACCGACCAGCTCAAATATCATGAATGCGGTGATGTTTCCCAGCCATTTTTATTGGGAACTAAAATGAGTGTGATCCAACTTTGCAGCAATATGGCTTGAAGGTATAAAATTGCATTAAGGGCATTTGAGCTGCACCACGGGAAGTTGCGTGCCGTTCAGGGGGCCATCGGAGTGGGCTATCACGCTGGAGATCTCAAAGAGCTCAAAAGTTGGGCACGGCTCACTATCCCTGTCTAATGGAGAAGGAAACCAAGAGGAAGTGACTTGCCCAAGGTCACATGACAGGTCACTGGCGGAGCCAGGAACAGAACCAAGGCCTGGCACCCAGGCCAGTGCCCAGTTTACAAATCCGTACTGCCTCGAAAATGGGATGTACCAACAGCCACCTTCAAATATGACCCAGGGGCAGTAGGTGCAGAAAGGACTGACGGGCTCACCCAGTCTGATCAAATGCGTTTTGCATGATTAACCCCTGTGTAATTTCCCTGATTGGGTTACGCTACCTGCCCCTGAGTATCTGCAATGATCTCACCTGAAGATCACTTCTTTAAGGACTCTGCCAAAACGCCCTGATTCAGTAACTACCAACTTTAACAAGCGGTCTGGTAACAAAGACAAGTGGACTGGATCGATTGGGGATTGGGGATGGAGTCTGAAACATTTCCACTCCAGGGTCTGATCCTAGTCACATTAAGGGGGAGGAAGGAAGGATGGGCCAGTGATTAGGGTGCTAGCCTGAGACTCTACAGCCATGGATCCAAGTCCCCGTTCTGCGACAGACTCCCTGTGTGCCCTCGGGCTAGTCACCCCCACCCAGCCCCCACCTCACCCCAAATCTGCCCCACCCAGCCCCCGCCAGTTCTGCCCCCCAGCTCCTCCACCCCCATCCAGCCCCACCTCACCCCAAATCTGCCCCACCCAGCCCCCTCCAGTTCTGCCCCCCAGCTCTTCCATCCTCACCCAGCCCCAAATCTGCCCCACCCTACCCAGTCCCCACTAGGTCTGCCCCCCAGCTCCTCCACCCCCACCCAGCCTCCACCTCACCCTAAATCTGCTCCACCCAGCCCCC